CTCTCTCTCTCTCTCTCTCTCTCTCTCTCTCTCTCTCTCTCTCTCTCTCTCGAGTTCTTCGTTATACTCTGTTGGGCTCGGTTTCCCAAAAATAGATTGGTCCGGTTAACTGCATGACTGACGCAGTGGAACGGAAGATTACCACTGCTCCGAATGTTAAAGGTTTAACATTTTTACTCGGAATGCGAAACTTCTTAATGCACCTTCTTCGGGACAAATTCCTCCCCCCCCCCACCGACTTTGCGTGTTACCCGATATCCCGTGTCGACTTTCAGTTTTTTAATTACTATACCCGTCAGACGTCATGGCCGCGTTCCGCATTATCACCCCGTAATTATAACAGAGTCACGAAACCCTTTAGGTTAAGCAGAAATTTTTTGAAGGGTGCGCTGGGCTGCCATTGTTCCATTAAAACACGAGTGAAAGCACAAAGCGCGGTTCTGTTTGTTTTTTCAAGCCATTATTGCCCTTAGTATTCATCTGACGTCTAGAATCCCGATTACCCCGGAGGTTTTTTTTTTCACTCTATGTTCCCTTCTTCTATTTGGAAATGCCACCTGTACCGCCCAATGATGAGTCTTATTTTGTCATTCTTTGTTCTTCCCCCCAGGGCCAAGCCAGTATAAGCGCCTATATTACTTACTATCGGCCGGATGACGCTATGCGAGCAGTGCTGACCCTGGATCAGTCCATACTGCATGGCCGGCAACTGCGCGTCTCCCTAGGTACTACCAAGTACTGCAGTCAGTTCCTCAAGGGTCAAAAATGCAGTAAGCACGTAAGTGTCACACCCCTCCCCTCCGCCCCCAAAACGTTTGAGGCCTTTGCGTGTCTCGTGTCGTGGACTGTTGCCCGGTGAAGCACAACTCAGCAATCGCCAGCTTAAAAACCGGCATAAACAGATCTCGGCCTGTCCAACGCCTTCTCAACTGGCACGCTTCATTTGTCCAGAAATCGCTATCTGGACAACTAAGCTCATAGTTCTGGGCTTGCAGTCTAAAAGGTCGCCTAAAGTATGGTTTAGCTAAAAGATGGCCACCGAGCGCCGAATTCCACCGCATGCTCTACGGAGGGTGCCCAGCACCAGTGACTCAGCACATGAATTAAGTTATGGTGGGCATAGTTGCTCAGC